TTCTATGACTGCAAAGCATCCATCAGGAAATGTTAGTGCTATAATTGGCTATTCATTTAAACAGAGGGAGAGGCAAGACACTATCTTCAGGTCCTTTCCAGCTTAATTTTATATTTCTATGATTTTCTCTGACTTTTCCTTTCTTTTACGATGTTTGGTACCCAATTTTTAAATGAAGATATATAAGATCAAGGAACACTGAAATTTTTCTTTTAATAGTTATCTTTCTTCAGGTGAATAACTACCTGCATAATTGCCTTTTTCGATATATGCTCATATATGCTGTTTTCCACACAGCAGATAAATCAAAGTCATCTCAAACTGAACAGGAGAACAACAATCAAAATTCAGATGCTGAAATCCTAGAAGAGAAGATTGACTTAGCCAGGGATCAGGTGCTACATAGGTATGTTATATGAAGTACAAAAAAGTTGCTTCAGCCAGATGTTTAGGCATGTAATTCATCTGAACCTCATATGTGATCCATGATAGTACTGTCATGCCTAATGTTAGGAATTTACTTAGGAGTTTCTCTAACATGAAGCGTAAAGAGTACATTCATTTTTGGCACAATATAAATAATTTTAGAAGATAAGAATTCATGTGTTTTGCTCTTCCAAGGTATTCTTCCAAGGAGAATTTCTTTTTCAGATATATATTGCATGAACCATACATATACATATATGTATATATATGTACCTATGCATACATATATCTGAAGTGTGTCATACATCATGTGACTGCCCTTGAGTGAAATGCACTAGATTTGAGTTACAGATTTTCTAAAATGGTATCTTCCACTTTTATATTTATGAAAAACAACTAGTTTTTCATTTTTTATTGGATCATTAGATGTTTAACTTTACATAAAGAACAAAATCAAGAACAAGTTTTGTTTCTAAATATTTGATACTATTAACTGTTTCAGACTATTGTATCATTGATTATTATTTTTAGTTGTGATATAAGAAAGTAGGTTTAGTTTGTGACAAGAATGAGTAAGAAATATAGAAGACTAGTTAACAGTAGCATTTTGAAAATTCTTCTGTGTTGAAAATGAAGGGGTTGATGTGGATGGAGTATTATTTTGCAAAAACTATTGCCTGGATTTGTTTTAGTATTAAATTAGATGGTCTGCTTTTTCTTTTGTTTATTAATTTGGGAAAATATTTTGTTTTCCATTAGTTAGATTTTAATTTTATACTTTAACATGATTTTTACAGAATTTCAGGTTTTCTAGACACATGGCCAAAATTAGAGAAATGGTTTTCAGTCCATCAAAATATTCTAGTGAAAGTCAATGCAGAGACAGAAGAAAGTCTCCTGTGTGAAACAGTTAAGGAAATTATAATGGAAGAAATTGCCAAAAAACAGAATAGAAGTAAGTTTTCCTGCTCTTTTTACAATTCAGTAAGAAAAGACTTTGTTCTTTATAATTAATACTAATGATCAATATATAAAACTGTATGGAAAGATACATTTTCACTGGCCCTGCAAGACTTTGGGGATGTGTGAGTTAGTGATAACTGCACCAGAACTTTGAACTTTTCTGTTGTGTTTTTACCTTTTCAGAGGATACGGGCCAATTTCACATAATTGTAAAGATCATTTGAGAAAAAGTTTTAAAATATTTAAAAGAAAGTGTCAATTGGATTTATTTAAATTCCATGAAGTAAAGGATTACTAAATTCAGTCCTTTCTTCCTGGTTTAAATATTACAGCTAGCATCTTCAACATATTGGATAGCATAATGGTATAAGAAAGACTAACTTGCCATTATCAACCTATATTCATTTATCAGCAGCAGCTTAAAAACATGGATAACTTGGAGTGTTTTTGACATGTGTTTTGGTGCATCTTTATTCCATTTTTTCTCTTAATGACCCAAAAGGAAAGAATCCTTTAAAAATAAAAAAGGAAGAAAGATGAAGAATCCAGGGGAAAAGATGCATCGAGTAAACCAGGATTAGTAGACTTCTGACTAACCAGTTTTTTTCTTCATAATTATGACAAGAAAGTCTTGATGTGTTTTCTACCACCAAAAAAAAAAAAAAAGTATTAGCTTGAAACGCACTCTTAACAGTAAAAGTTTAGATCACTACTCCAGCACAAGGTTTCCAGTTCATGAAAAATTCTTGAGAATATCACACCTGACAGAAAACTGGATGGAGCATTTTCAAAGAACTACCTGGTTGGAACTGCCTTTTTTATGTGCTTGACATAATTCGTAGCCCTGATGGAGTCAATGTCAAAATTCCTATTGATGCAAATGGAGTTGAGGTTTTCTGGTTAGAAACCAGCTATCTTGCAGAAGTACTGTAAGGACTATTTAGTCCCTGTGGAGAAATAATCCCTGTGGTCAGTTAATAATGTCTAATTTCATATTTATGTTGATAGATTCCAAGCTGTCCTTCACTATTATCTTGAAATATCCTTCACTATGTCCCTGAAATCATGATAGTTGTAATGAATCTCAGAATTGTATCAACACCACTGACCTTGGTTTACCTGGTAAAGAATTTGTTTCATATGCATACATACTAATTCATTGTCTTCCTGTTTCTCTCACAGTGATGGTTTTAGAAAAGTATCAGTCCTGCAAAATATAAGCTTAACTGGAAAGTGATTTTATAACTATGGCATCACTGATTTGATAGGTGTATTTTCTGGTGAACAACACCTAAGTAATGAAATACTGAATCTGTTCGTTATTTTGAACTTGTCAGAGTAGCATACATGTCTAACTCTGTTTATTGATACTTAGAATACATTTGAAGGTACTAATTGTACACTCATATACAAGGGTCTGCTCAAGAAATATCACCAGATATTTCTGGTGATAAAAAGCTTTTACCAGTTACACGTCAAGATTTGCTTCCTCCCATTCCTGTGGCACCACCACCAATTGAACCAGGATCAGAGGAATGGATTTATGTAGATGAACCACTTCCCAAGGTACATTCGTTCATGATTAAAAGTCTTAGATATCAAAATATACCTTTTTCTCAGGATTTTATGCATATTCTACCTAAACCTTTTGTCTCATTGCATGTTGTTTTTTTCAATATTTTTCAATGAAAGATACACAAGTACTGCATTATAAATATCTAAAAATGCAAGTAACAGTTGCTACTAAAATATATAAAATAAGGAAACACACTTTAAAATTTTGATAATTGTTTTTTTCTAAATTCTTCACAATGATGATGAAGAATAGCACATGGATGCCAAAATAATAATACTTTTTAATATTATGAAATACTAGCATAGACTTACTAGGCTAGTTTCCTGTCTCTGACAAGGGCCAGTTGTGGATCTCGTAGAAAGAATGTAAGAATGGGGAGAGCATACACTGATCTTTCTCCTAGGATACTTTCTTCTAACATGTTTTCCCTGAGGACATCTTCCTAGTTTCCAATGATCTGAAATTTAGGGGTTTCCTGAGATGACTTTATATCTGCATCTTTGTGTTTAGTAGCTCTCAGTAGACTTTTCTTCCGTGATTATGTCTAGTTGCTTTCTTTTGAAGCAATTTACTTTTTGGTCTCCATGATATAGCCTGTATAATTATGCTAATTAAAAAAAAAAATTTCTGTCTCTTTGCTTTAAACCTGTTGTTTGCTTGGGTCATTTGATGACCCTAGTTCTTGTATTGTGAGATACAATGAATAATAATTCTGTAATCACCCTCTGAAGGTATTTAAGATGGGACAGGCATCTATTACATTTTCATTTTGCTCAGTGTTGCTTTGCTCATCCAATCCAGTCATAATCTCTTTAACGCCTCATGTGGAGCTGTTCACATGTTCAGTCATAATTCTTGCCCTTCTGTCTGTCTATTCTAGTTCTAATATAAATTTTTTGAGATGGGGAGATGGGACTGGATGCAGTATTTGAGAAGTAGATTTAAAGGGTGCATAATGATGCTTTGTATTTTGTTCTGTAATTCCTTTCCTAATATTTACCAGTTTTGCCTTCATGGCTGCAATTAGCTTGCATATGCTGGCTTTCTGCTGGCCATGGGCTTTATTTTGCATTTCATGACAGTCAGTCAGTCAAATGTCATTTTTACAACACTAGACAGTCAGCTTAGATTTTTACCAGCTTGAACAGTTGGGTACCACTGAATTTTGATACTTAAGTACTCACTTGGTATCTTCACTTAGTTTATGAGTATATCCAAACCCACAGATACTGGAGTATTCTGCTGGAATTTCTCATTCATTTTGAATACTGCCACTTTTTTCCCAAAGAAATGCACAGGATAAACTGTATGTTGGTACAGTGTCTATAATCAGTTGTAAATAGTTGTAAATTAAAAGAAATACATGGTGAAAAAAAATCAGTAATATTATTTAATGAAATAATCTTTCTTGTATTTGCTAATGCTACAGCTAAATGGGTTACCGAGAAAGATATCAATTAATTTTGATGTTTTTAAAAAATTCACAGGAGATATCTGGCTTTTTAGTACCTTACTGGGAAATGGTAGAAAACGCATATATGAATACCATCAAAACTATACTTAGATGTCTAAGGGATGAACAGCACTCTGTGATTTATTACTTAGCAGACGTTAGGTGAGTATAAATAGTAGCTTATTACATTAATATTAGCATTTTGTATTTTCCCTGTGGCATTCTATATGTCTTTTAAGACCAAAATTCTTTTTACCATAATTTACAGAAAAAAATTCCAAGATTATTTGAAGCGTCCAGATCTCAAGCAGGAGTTTGTATCTCAGTGGCAATCAGATTTTAATTCAATTGCTGATGACCTACGAGAAGATGAGGAAACAAAAGCAGAACTACACCAAAGAGTTACTGTAAGTAAATGGAAAACGTTATAATATACCCTAAAGTATTATTTCATTGTATACAAGCTTGATGTAACATGAACGATATTACTTTTTTTTTTCCTTTTTACCACTATTCTTAAACTGTTTCACTTCCTCTTGTACATAAAGTGTTCTTCACAATTATTTCTTTGGTTTTTGGCCGTATCTTATGTCTTACTTCTTTTTTTAGGTTATACTGTAGTATTCTGGCATATTGTAAAATATGTATTTCTCTGCTTTCTTTTTCTTTATGTTTTATGGTTTTCAGAGATTTTACTCACAAGTTTGGACATTTCAATCACATTCTAACAAATCTTGGCAGTCATTTAGTTTTTCCGTAAATGATATATGGTAATATATGTTTTCTAAAACTAATCATACAAAGTACAGAGAATTTCTTTGAAATGTTTTGACTCAGGTAGATCTTTGCTAGGTCATACATGTCCTGAGAGTTCTTCTTCACAAAAATCCGTAAGGGTAATGGTCCTAACAAGTTCAGAGCCAGATTTAACATAAGCAGGAAGTAGAGCTGTCTTTGAATTTATCAGGTTCCCATTTCAGAACAGACATGGTTTTTAGTTGAAATCATATCAGGAAATGCTTCCAGAAAAGGGGAAAAAAATGCTGGCAATATTATTAGTTGAAGGGAACATTGGTGGCATCATGGATGAATTCACCAAGATGGAAAAAGCATTGGATTTCCTTTTCTATAGCATTATTTCAATAATGAAGTAGATAAAAATCATCATCCATATTCCTAATTTCTACTAAATGGAATTATAAAAAGACTGGAATCCCTCTGTCCTGTATTTTAGAAAGCTAAGATTTAAAATATTTGGCCTTTCACTCATAACAGAAATCCATGTTTGCATTGTCTATTTCAAATTAGGTTAAGAGGAGGTGATAGTCCCATATGATGCAGTGAGACTCAGGTAGTGTGATAAGGCTAAGCACAGTAAGTAAGGAAGTTTGGAGCAAATACATGATTTCCAGAATTTCTGTTTCTGAATGACCCATCCTAGTCCTTGTGGATCCCAAATCTGTTGGTGAATGTGAAGATGATACTTCCTCTATGCTTCTAAGTCCTGCCTATTGTACCTCCCTGAATGTGAGAATTCTATCATCCATCCTTCACTGATGCTAGAAAAGGAGAGGGAGGAAATGAAAAGAGTGATAATCTGTGGAATGTTTTACCTCAAACATTTTCAGCTTTCCCAGACTGCTCAACTCTGTCATCGCAGCTGAACCCTTTCTGAAACACTATCCACACTGGAAGCTGCTAGCTGTGAAACCTGAAAACAAATTTCTCTGATATCAACTGGAAAATGTAAAAATCCACCCCATTTTGTGATGTGTGAAAAATTCCTCAAAGGCCTAAAGCCCAAAGGGGCAACCAAGGCTTTGGCATCCTAAAGGTCCAAACTCAGAATCACTGTGGATAAAATACACTTCAGCAGCCCATCTCTGTTACACTGTCTTTCAGCAATTTCTCCAACTTCCCTCTCACTCCATTGCTATCATCAAACATGGTCAGTCACTTGGTCCCACTACTTCTCTTGTTCCAGATAGGAGAGGACTTAGCACGTGCATCAATTTTTTCTTTCTTTTCACCCACCTGAGTACAAGGAAAGAAGGAGAGAGAAGCTGCTTCACTTTGAAAAGAGGAAGAGTGGTGGGAGAGAAAAAGACATAAAGCATGCTTTTAGCTTCTCCCAGAGGAAGATACCTCACTGTCTCCCTCTCCAGTTATCTCCGCTGCTTACAGTGAATCAAAACTCTGACTTGAATAACATGAGGACAAAGAAGAAAATGCTCCTCCTTACGTGTCTCAGGAAGGTACTGGAAAGAGCTGTACATCCATTTGTACAAAACATCGGCTTGTTTTGCTTGTATAGTATTGGGTTTATGTGGCAAGGTTTTGGTAGCAGAGGGTCTGCAGAGGTGGCTTCTGTGAGAAGACATCAGGGGCTGCCCCCATGTCGAAAAGAGCCACTGTCAGCCAGCTCCAAGACAGACCTGCTGCTGGCCAAAGCTGAGCCAATCAGCAATGGTGGTGGTGCCTCTGTGCTAGCATATTTAAGAAAGGGTAAAAAACTCTGTGTGGCAGCTGTGAGAGAGGAGTGAGAAAATGTGAGAGAAATAACTATGCGGTCACCGAGGTCAGTGAAGAAGGAGGAGGAGGAGGTATTCCAGGCACCAGAGCAGAGATTTCCCTGCAGCCTGTGAAGACCATGGTGATGCAGGTTGTTCCGCTGCAGCCCATGGAGGACCACAATGAAGCAGATATCCACCCCGCAGCCCGTGGAGGATCCCACACTGGAGCAGGTGGACGTGCCCTGAGGGGAGCGGCAGCCTGTGGAGAGCCCATGCCAGAGCAGGCTCCTGGCAGGAACAGTGGCCCACAGAGAGGAGTTCTTGAAGAACTGCAGCCCATGGGAAGGACCCACGCTGGAGAAGTTCATGAAGGACTGTATCCCATGAGAGGTACCCCACTCTGGAGCAGGGGAACAGCGTGAAGAGGAAGGAGTGGCAGAGATGATGCATAATGAACTCATCGCAACCCCTCATTCTCCATCATCCCTGCTCCACTTGGGGGGCAGGATGTAGAACAGTCAGGACTCCAGTTGTGCCTGGGAAGAATAAGGGGTGGGGGAAAGGTGTTTTTAGTTTTGTTCTGTTTCTCACTATTCTGCTCTGTTATTAATTGGCGATAAATTAAATTAATTTCCCCAAGTTGAGTCTGTTTTGAACGTGACGGTAATGGGTGAGTGATCTCCCCATCATTATCTTGACCCACGAGCTTTTCCATCGTATTTTCTCCCCCTGTTGCGTGAGGAGGGGGAGTGATAGAGCAGCTTGGTGGACACCTGGCAGCCAGTCAGGGTCAACCCACCACTGCGAAACAGATAGGTTGTATGCTTATATGTTTTTTATTCAGTAGCATATCCTTACGTGTATATCCTACAATGTGGGCAACCACGAATATCTGATAGTCTTACACCTTGGCTACCTTCTATGTATGCCATCACTGATGTGTTAGGTAGCCCAAGGACTGCTCATTTGTCAGCTTCCCTGTGACTTTTGTCCAACAGAGGACAGCTGGATTTGTCTGAAGTGTTTGAACAGGGGGAAACAGTCTGACATATCAGGCTGAGACCAAGACCTGGTAAATATGGAATCACTTATCACCTGAAGCCTAAGCTCCTCATTGCACAGCTAGTAGTCTGGAATACCTTTTCTTTTTATCCCAGAACAGGTCAGGTGGGGTAGAACTGCTTGAAGCCCGAGAGACAGCTCATATTAGCCTACCTTAGCACTGCATTTAACAAGCACTCTTCTATTCCCATCACCTCTTATTACATAGAGGTCTGTCACCCTATTTCCATACCGAGATGGCAATAGGGAACAGAGGGTTTGCATGCATGTTGTATGCTTAGTAGGTCTTCAGTGCTGTCACTGAGCCACATAGTGCTGCTGTTAGTTATAGTCAGTAGTTGAAGAGCCCTTAGTTATAAAGAACGTTAAAGAAAAATGTCATGGAGCTATCCAAATTGGAATAATACTTGAACTCTGACATAATTTTCTCAGAATTTTTCATATTGCACATCCCATTACAGTGTATTAGTTAGCAAATCATTCAAGTGGAAAGTTATTGGTGCAGTTGGGAGCTTAGCTATTCATATTCTCACGTCTTTGTCTAGCTTAGATAGGTCTTCTCTGCCTCAGGAAAGCAAGGCAGCCTACACATTCATCTCATACCTTTGTATTCTTCTCTCTGGCACATTTGTAAAGCTACTTTCTGTCAGCTCTCTGTAAGCACATGACTTATTGACCAGGCTTTGACATTTACAACAATAAAGAAAAAGCCCCAAATGGGAAGATGCCCTATGCACAGGCCAAAAAAATATAGTTTTTAATAATAAATATAAAAAAGGTATTTAAGTTTTATTTCACAGTTATTTCTCATATTTGATTTTGTGTTTTAGGACCTAAGAGATCTTCTCTGGGATATCTGTGATAACAGAAGGGAAGAAGCAGAGCAGGAACGTACTGATATCATGAATGATGGCTGGTTACCAGATCATAGGGGGATTGCAATGAACCATTTCTTTTCACTTATGCAGGTATGGATCTACTATGGAGTCTGCAATGAAAGGGGACAATGAATTAGATTTGGAGGACAGTAGGTCTCAGAGGAATTTCATATGGTTGGCTCCAAATAAGTGAGAGTTTGAGAATTAGATAAGCAAATGTTTATGCTTCTTCTGAATTTATCTGGAAAGTTAAGAGACAAAAAGTAGATGATATTCCATACATTTAACTCTTTGGCAGGCAGAAAAGCTTAAGAAAAATACCATTGTTATTGTCCACCCCCCAGACTTTCCATCTGTAGTGTATAGTGCTATTTTTTGCAAGTTTATCAGTCCAGTGAATCATCCGAGTTTTGTAACAGAAATGTTGGAGCTGTTTATCCTTCTGTGATCATATTGACATCTGTTCTTAATTTGCAAATTATATAATTCACTGCTGTTGTAGACCCACTTGCTGTTAAGGTTGTCCTGTATTTCCCATATCACAAAATTATTTCAGTTGTAACTTCACCAATGTGGCTTGAAATTTTATCTACAGACTGAAAAAAAAATTGCAAGGAATGTTTTTGAGAATGTGATGTCATTTGTAGCTCTTAAGAAAATCCATTCAAATATGACCCAGCTTTCACTCATCTAACTTCAAAGTTTTCAAGAGACCATCTTCAATTAGTTCGCTCTCCCCTCCCCCACATTAAGCCTTTCCTCTCATTCAGCCTGACCATCAATTACTTCAGTTCCTGAAGTAAAGTAAGATTTTCCTGTGACTGCTGTTCTAGGTGCATAAATTTGGTTTAGGGCTGGACTGGACTGGACTGGAACAGACTAGACTAGACTAGACTAGACAGGCTTTTCTTTAAACTGAGTGACCATTCTGTGACCTCCCTTTAATTCTCTGTGTTATTTTTATATGTTTAATAAACAAGGGAACCACTCTCTTATTTCATACAAGTGTGGTGGTAATTTAAGTTAAATCTGTGAAGTAGTCAGGTCAGCTATAGTAAGGAAATTATTAACTCATTTTCAAAGAGCCTAAATAATGCCCTAATTAAAGAGTTAAGGCCACTGACTAAAGAGAGAGGTCAAAACATCAAATAACTGCTGACTTTTATATTCATGTATAACTTTGCAACCCTAACTCTCTTCTATCAGAATTTCATGGACTTGTATAATGCAGTCCAGAGAAGATTCACTATGAATCTGATTTGATCTGTCTTGTGTGGCTATGGAGAACAGCCATTTAAAATTATGAATACATGTATTAACCATATATAAGCTTTTATTTTCCTATAGGAAAATGCAAAGGAAACCATTTTTACTTTCTTTACTTAGCATATATTCCCCCAAGTAAATGAATTATTAATGCTAAAACTACAGAACTAAAAATGTAATAACTGTATCTTTATGTTATGGCTTGTTTGAGAAGCAGCCAAAAATAGGCTTCTTTGGTCTTGAGCTCTCTCTCTGTGGGTTTTTCTGTGGGAAGTTACATGTATTCCCCAGGTGGCTCTGTTACTGTATAAACACATAGATTTGTATAAATACCGTTTATCAGATTTCTTTCCACCTTTCTGTGTACACACTGTTATGCTAGAAGATATTTTCTCCTTAATTTATGGATAAGTGCTGGTTTACACCACAAAGGTTTTATCCTTCGTTTTGTGAATGTGGTTTTGTGCATTTTCCCATGAATATTTAGTACTGTTTTGGCAGTTAGAAACTAAGACCATACTGTATCAATAAATCAAAACATGACAGGTGTTAAATGTTTTTTGAATCTTACTTGATTTCTTCCAAGATGATTCACAGAAAAAGATCTTCAAGACATTTAGGTGTGTAAAGTCTGTTGATTTTTTTGGTCCAGAAAAACTGTATGGCTTTTAAACTTTTCTCCATCCCTTAACCCTTTTTATTTTATGCTATTAACGATTTTATTTTTTTTAACATAAAGATCCCTATAATTTGTTGGTACTAGTATGCTTGCTACTATAGAAATACCTATACATCAAAAGATATTGTAGTTGAATTTAATGCATCAAACATTATTTATTGTATCTTCCTATTCTAAGAACTAAGATTTTTATTAATCCTTAGAAATACCAATGTGAAGACACTGTAGATGCAAGTAGGAGTATGCATTGAATACACTATAAATTTTCAAACAAATATGGTTACGTTTGTTGTTCTCCCTCAAACCCTTTAGGATTTAGAATTGCTTCTGCTATCAGGTATTTTAAAATGTAACAGAAATTTGTTCTGTCCTGTTTTGAATTGCAATTTTTCTGTCCTTTCTTCTTGAGGTTGAAGTGGATCGTTTCCAAGATACAAAGAGACTTCTTCATGATTATTATAGGGCAATGGAAGGAAAAATCCCAACGGATGACAGTCAAGATTTTACTAGAATCCCATTGTTAGATATTATTGATGTAAAGCAGAAAGAAGATCAAAACAAATCAAGAAGGTAGAAATGTTTTATTAAATTATACAAATATCAACAAATACAATGCACTGATAGCTTTGTGGGTGTATGTGGAAATATATGTGTGTATTTTTCAAAGGATGAGGAAAGAAGAATTTTTAACTAGGGATTACGGTCAAATGATGAATCTTGAATCACCTTGTAGGTTTAATTTATCTCTGATTTTTTACTGATTTACATATATCATTTTCACTAATGCATCTCTGAATTATAAAACATTCTAAAAGCTGTCTTAGAAAGAAATCTGCTATAGAAATGTTTCCTACTTCCCTCTGTTTTGCTGGCAATCCTCACGTAACTAAGTTAAATATTATTATGGAACATTAACAGGTTTAAAATTTGCACCAACAAACCTAATTAAATAGGTTATGTAATAACAAATATAAATCAAAGTATTCTACAAAGATGCACAGAACTGAATGCCATATTAAAAGGTAAGGGATACCATCAAATAACTTCACAATATCAAAAATGCTGTCAGTAGTGACACCTGCTTTTTTAAATACTTACAGTTCATTTAGAAACTATCTGAGTAATGAAGCTGTGCTTCTAGCCCATGTGGAATATATCAGCAGATCACACAGTCATTTGATGAAGTTTTATCCATCTACTATTATTCCTTAGCTTCTGTAGTTAAACTAGACAGTTTTCTTGTCATCCACACATTTCACCACTTTTGGTCATAAGGAAAGTTCATCCCTTTTCTGTTGCTATGTTAAATTTTGAAAATAGCCTTCTCATTCTCTTAGCATATTCTCCAATGTAGTTATAAATTAACACATTTTATAAAGGGGTGTGTGAATTATGCCTTATATTTTATTTTTAAGGATTCCTCTAGTTTCTTGGAAACTGCCTTCACCAGAAATAAATACTACGAAGTCAAAAAGCAAGGGAACTCTACAGAAGAGTGCTAAGGATGAGAATTCTGAAAATGGAGCAGACACTTTTGGGAAAGATGAAAATCTTATTACTGATACATGGCAAACAGCAGTAATAGCAGTATCAAATATGGTAGGGAATGTTTTATTTACTTAAATATTTCTGGATCGGACAGTCAAAGCCTCCCAGTTTAGCCTCACAGTTTAGGCAGCCTAAACACACAGCCTTCACTCTGTGTATCTCAATTTCATGCCTCTTGCTCCACCACTGATATTTCCGTTGAATATGTTTGTGTTTCTATGAGGAAAATGTTGCAATCTGTGTATTATCAGCACCTCTGTATTTATAACTGACCCTTTCATTCCATTACTGAGAGAAATACTTTGAATGTTGACTCTATATATCTACTTCTTCCATGATAAACTCTCCCTTTATCCATCAATAGAAGTGTGAGAAGAGGGACGAGTTTTATCCTGTGATGCGATATTTGCTCAAACCTTTCACAACGTCAGAAGTATGGTTACATTCTTTTTTATATATAGCTAAAAGTAAATTAGGTGGGCTTTTCAAATGGTTGGTTTCTAGGTTCGCTTTTTCTTTTCTCTTTGATCATTTTAAAATAAGTTAATTTCTGCACCCTTACAGTGTAACTGTAGTCTTGCTTTGCATACTGTTGATTCTTACATTTCTCACTTTTTCCTAGAGTATAGGTAATAGGTTACAAGAATTAAAACCACTATCACTCTGTCTTGCATTTTTGCTGTAGAATTTTATTTTTGATAAATAATCAAAATGTAATCAATTTAATTAGTTAAAATAGCTCCTTTGTTTTATTTATGTGTGTATGTCTCAGCAACTACTTTCAGTAAGTATACGCTATTTAAAATAGTAGTTGCATAGTGTTGATACTAGGTATTTTACTATGTGTGACTATGATATCAAGGTAACAGCTGAAATACAGTCTAAAGAAATGGAGGAAGAAAAAGAACCTCAGCAGCTAGAACTGAAAGAAGATCTGAAATCTTCACAGACACTGTCAGGCAAAGCTACTGGGAAAGATGCCAAAGATGCCAAAAAGCTTTCTCCCAAATCAGCTACTAAAAAGAAAGGTATTTGAAATGTAGACTTTGTTTTAGCAGTGCTTGAAATTATTGAAATGTAAATATGTCGGTAATACAGAAAAGAGTAAGCCAAGACATTTAATTTGGATTTAATTCCTCTTTTGAAATGTCAAATGTGACATATCAATGCGAAAACTGGTAGTGGTAAAGGAGTGCAGAGGCTTTTGAATGGCAACTGCATTTATTCAATCATATGTGTTGTCGTTATTATTATGTAGGAATAACTATTCTAAATAGAACCTAGAAAGTAAATATTAATTTTTCTCCATGTGCTCTTTTGGAATTGAATAGTTAGAACTAGTTTATCAAATTAAATAAAATTCCATTAAATTCTGCCTACTTTCCAGCCATAAGTCAAAATATTTCAAATATTAAAGTACTGGAATAGAATGGATAAATTATCCAATACCCCAAGATATTTTGGAATTAATTTATCAGCCATATAGTGGCATGGATCTATCGAGGTCCATCATTTTTATATATAACTGTAACACGGTGTAAATAAAGAACATAAAATCTAATGGCATATGTAGTCCTAAAAAAGAGCAGACTCCCATTGCGGTAGATCTTGCTCATAGGCCTGCCAAGAATCTGTCCAACCAGGTGAGAATACGAAATGTATTTGCCAAAGAGAAACAGACCTAAACAAACTTATCTCTTTAGCCTAGCAATTCAGGCAGTCTGCTGGAAGGAATCCTGGCATGCAATGCTGTTTATACATTTTTTCATAAATACTTCCTTGAGCAGGTAGTGGTTTAAGTAACTTCCACTTCTTGAGGCAAAATGTCGTAGCTCCAGCAGGAAGCAAGGCTAGTAGCCTAAACCTTGTATCTTTTGTAAAGACATTCTACATAGCAAGAGAGGGGGTCAAGCCCTGCAGGTACAAGGATAGCTTGAAATTCAGGAACTCCATTTCCAGGTGAGACAGCTGTAACTACAGAGTTATTAGGCATAAAGCAGCTGACTTATTTTCTTTGACAGACATTTTATTTGCACTGTACTCAGTGCTCTCTCTCTGGTTGATTCTGCTCATGGTACAGTGAACACGTATAGCCCTGCAAATACTTAGCCAGGTGGATGCCTAATTTGTGACCCCCAGGGAGCCTTAGGTATGTGCTTTGCATCTCAGTCCAGCCAAGAGAGTAGCAGATTTTCAGATTTCTAGAAAAGCTTTGTGATAAAAAATCAGCAGCTATCACCTATTGTATTCTAAGTGGCTAGGTTGGGGTTTGTGGATTGCTTCTTGGAACTAAATTTTTGTTCAGACCTGGTACTAGATGACTTACCTGAAATCACAAAATTATAAAGTGACAGAACTGCAACTAGAACTCAGCTGTGCTTTCCTCATGGTAGAAGATGAAGTATCAACTGATGTATCTGTAACTGAAGTATCAACTTTGATTTCATGTCAAATACAGTGTTACTGTAGTGTTCCTGTAACGCAAGAATTCCCTAGGATACAGCTATAAGCTAGTAACTGAGTGATACAATTTATCACATGTAATTTTATTACTTCTAGATTTGACCATTTGCTTTATGTTGACCTTATGTATCATGCAGATGTCATTTTTTTTTTCTGTAACAGCTCCATCTGCTCTTCTTCTAGGTCAAAGCAGTTGCAAATATTTTAATATTTTTGAGTAATAATCAAAGTGTTGTGACTGCAGGATTTCATGCAATCTTTGAAAACATGATAAAATACCTTTACAATATCTGTTTATAGATATATAAGTTAAAACAAGCTGCAAAAGCAGCTAACAGAATGGTTTAGAAAGGCATGAAATAACATACCTTTTTTTTTCTTCTGGTGTATTATGATTTTTTTTAAATAGCATTATTGTTCTTTTCACTGCTTTGATGGTAACCAATGATATTTAGTAATATAGCATTTTTACTACAGTTTGCTAAACTTGAATTTGCTCCAGAAGGAACGGCTATCATTCAAAAGAGGTTTATTTATGTTCTGGTTGTGATAAATTGGTAGATTTTAGGGTCAAAGAGGACATTTTGACCGTCTAGGATCACAACAGAGGCACACCTACTCAGTCATTATTTTCCATTCAGAAATACATTTTAGGATGTTATTTAACCAATTTTAATACAGTTGTATATGCTGGAGTAATTTTATACTGTGTTAATCTTAGCATGTCTTGCAGATGTAAATCACATTTGAGGAAATCTAAATATGTTGTGTTGACATAAGACACTTGAGTAACCACCTTTGTATTCTCATAAATGGCCACATCAAGTAAGGTGGAAAGTGCCATATTTCATTTCAAAAAATGTGCTGTCTTGTGAGTGCCTGTGTACGGGTACACAAACTTACCAGTCCAAAGTCCAAAGACTGTGAGAGGTCTATTTTCCTGCAGGACCACCTTCTACTGCATCTGTGGCTGAAGTTAGTCCAGTTCCTATAACCCTAGAAGAATTAAAGAAACGAGAAGTGACACTTAAAATAAAGCAAGAATATTTCAGTGCCTTGAAACATGAGGGTATGTTTCTATTTGGTTACTTATATTGGGGGGTGATTGTTATTCCTAATTTAGGTTGTGTAATAGTCAAAACTAGCCAGAAACTCTAGTGAAAATGGATGGATAAGTAAGAAAAAGGAGGAGAGAGAAAGGAGTGTCCGGAGAAATCAGGAATTTTTTTAGGGTGGTAGTCATCAGTGATTTTGTGGTAAATATATTTAAAATAGAAATGTGTTTTTCATTCTTATTTTTGTTCTCTTCTGTTTCATTTCATTTAATTTCCTTTTCCATGACTAAGCAAGTATTCATCATGAGAGAATAAGTTTCACAGAGGTGGTTAGCCACTCTTCAGTATTCAATTGAATTGAATTCAGTATTTGAAATGTTTTGATCTGGGAAAGAATTTGTTGGCAATTATATATTTCATTGATGCTCTTCTCTCTGATTCCCTCTTCCTCAAGCCGCATGGGATTCAAGCAGCAAGACACAGATTTTGTTTATTCTTCCAAACGCCTTTCCAGACAGACCCTTCCAAAATCCACATTTTGTTCAGTCATTCTGTCTCTTTGTCTGTCTTACCCAATAACTTCCAAGCCAACTGGTTGATTTCAGCCAAAAGTAGATGTCTGAAATACAGAAGTCCCAAAGTGAAAATGGGTTGAAATTTTTTTTTAACATGGGTTTAGACTAGAAGAAAAAGACCTCTTTCTCACTAAAGGGAAGATGGAACTCAGCTGTTTGGCAACAGTTGGCAAGCCCATCATCATGTATGTTACCTCCTTGGCAGGCTAACTTTTGCATAGTATTTATTATGAAAAGTAGAGGGCAAACAGCAGTTAATGAACAAAACACAAATTCATAAGGCTTCTTTAGAATCATAGAATCATAGAATCATTAAGGTTGGAAGAGACCTCTAAGATCATCGAGTCCAACCGTCAGCCCAACACCACCATGCCCACTAAACCATGTCCCTAAGCGCTGCATCTACACGTCTTTTAAATACCTCCAGGGATGGTGACTCAACCACTTCCCTGGGCAGCCTCTT